TTTAACTTGATTATCTCTGTAAAGACCCTTTTTATAAATTAATGTCACATTCTGAGGTACTTTTTGGTGGGGAATGATAAAACCTCTAACACCTCCCCAAGACTCGTGGCCTATATTCCACTGCTGATAAAATAAAATCCTTGACTGGGTGTGCTGGCTCACGCCTGTACTCCCAGCACTCTGGGAGGCAGGAGTTCAAGACCAGCTTAAGCGAGAGCGAGACTCTGTCTCTACTAAAAATAGAAAAACTAGCCAGAAATAGTGGTACTTAACTGTAGTCTTAGCTACTCAGGAGACTGAGGTAGGAGGATCGCTTGAGCCCAGGAGTTGGAGGTTGCTATGAATACCACAGCACTGTAGCCTGGACAACAGAGTTGAGATTCTTTCTTAAAAGATTAAATAAGTAGGGTGGCACTTGTGGCCCAGTGGGTGGGGCACCGGCACCATGTACCGAGGATGGTGGGTTCGAATCTGACCCCAGCCAAACTGCAACAGAAAATGGCCAGGTGTTGTGGCGGGCACCTATGGTCCCAGTTGCTCAGGAGGCTGAGGCAGGAGAATTGCCTAAGCCCAGTGGAGGTTGCTGTGAACTGTGATGCCACGGCACTCTATTGAGGGCGATAATGTGAGACTCTGTCTTTAAAAAAAAAAAAAAATTAAATAAGTAAATAAATAAAATCCTTACTTCCCAAGTTTCTCACACTCAGTCTTCTTCCTTCACCAGTTGGGCCAGGCAAGGCTACATCTGATGACTCCATCAAAGACAGTCACCTGTTACCACTGGAAGGTGGCTGGAGGAGTCCAGATTACATGGTCAGGGGACATTTAGGGAGGATGTGTGATAATCACCGGAACCACTGGCTATTACCAAGTCAACTGCAGAGTTAGGGATGTTAGAGGCAGTTGTGGCAAAAAGACTAGTTAGGAAGGAGGTACAATAGTTGGCAGCAAGGAGGGAAGAGGACCTGAGTTGGAAAGCTGTGGTGAAGATGGAGAGGAGGTGGCAGAGGGAACAAAGTAGCTAGGAATGGGACTGTGCGTTTGGGCAGCTGAGCTGAGTGTGGGAGACGAGAACTGAGGCCTGCGAGGCTGCAGACCAGCCCCCCCAGAAATGAGACGGTGTGAGACAGATACATGTGAGGTGGCAAATCTTGGCACATATGAGCATCAAGAGCTCAGGAGATAGGCAGGGGCTACATTTTGGGACTCCAGAGGGGTTAGATTGCCCTGGGGAAGCACGCGGTAGAATGAGTGGAGGCTTGATGAGCTGGTCATGGGCCAAAGCCTAGGAAAAACAATGTTTTAGATGGGGCACAGATGCAAGGAAAAGCAGGTCAAGAAGGGTCCAAGAGGTGGGGGAAGAACCAGGAGAGAAAGGCGGTTCCTGTGAGCAAGAAGGTTCAGCAAGTCCAACAGCAGCGACTGCAGCAGAGGCCCCTGTGCTGGGCAAACGGCTGGGCTCCGATCAGAAGAAAAGTCAAGCATGCCTCTCTCATCTTTTAACTGTTTATTGTATAATATAAAACTACAAAAGTAAGACTGCTCATTTCCATGTACATTTAATCTGTCCAATTGTTTAGATTACAGCCCAAACCTACATGTGAATACAGCCATCTGGGTTCCGATGTAACGTCTGTAATATTGCATAGAAAAGGCACAGCTCTCAGGTCTGTGGGGGAAAGGTTTATACCTCCTTTCTGACAAAAAGCCCTCCTCAAAAACCATGCACCAGACACGGTATTATGTACATCTTTTCCAAAAACCTCGGTCATTCAAACATATGGTCTGCACTTCTCTTCCAAACTTGTTATCCCCAAAAGAAGTCCAACATTTTTTACTGGCTTTGTCTGCAATAGCATTTGATCCTGGCTAATTTTCAAGAACCATTCAGATTCACTCTTAGAAACATTGAAAACAATTGTACATAAGCAGGACGCACACAACTCTATGCCTCCAAGTGCAGGGCAGTTATAGGAAGTTAACCATTTACAGCCAGAACAGGTTAAACATACTCTTTTCGATATTTTCAGAATGTATAAAGATCCAATTTGTAATAGCAAGGTTTTCAAATTAAGACAATTCATATAGAGTAAGAATCGCTGCACAAAGTAGAGTCTCTCTCTTTTTCTTCTTTTTAACATCTGTCATTTAAGAAGGCCTCCCTGTGGTATTCATAATTCATTGTTTACCACAAAGGTGGTTAATAAATTTAAGCTTTAAAAATGATCTGTAAGTTGATACTTTGGCTTTCTGGAGCTTATTAGTTAATACATTTTCCTTGATTGACCTTAGGGCCATGGGGGCACTCCAAAGGGCTATGGCGATAAAAAGCTCAAATTGATAAAAGACACTCGAGAGGTGCAGAGGCGGCTCGGGCCATTTCTCACCCTTTGGTATGAAGGAGGGTGCCCGTGTGGTTGCCCCTTCTGTCATCCAGAAAAAGTGCTACTAAAAAAACTTTTAAAAATATCAACCCTTTGATGCTTGATTTTCTTAAAAATTTGGAGGTATTAAAACATTGCTCATCCATACCTTTTGCATATTTCAAATAGACCCATATTAGAGAAGAGAGTAAAAATGAATGTGGACTGTGCATACGATAAGAATACCAGGGGCCCTGGTGTGGACCCCCTTTAAATACAGATTTACATTCCTACAAGAGAATACATTCCTACCATACATTCTGCACATGTTACGATCCAGATGTTGTTAGAGCTCCACAGTAAAATAAATATATTTACACAGAAAAAAGGAATAAATAACTTATGGGGGAAAATAATCACTTCAAATTCAAAGCTCTTATGATTCTGCTCTCATCTTGTCACTTCATTGCACATCACTGTCAATAATTGTCCTCTCCCAGTCCCTGCCCCCAGCATGTCTCTCTCATAAAGGCACCTCAAGCTGCCTGCCTGGCTTTAGATGCCTTGCAATGTCTTTTACAGAGGAGAAAGCACCACTGCCAGGTGGCATCTGGAAGCACACCCCATACTCAAACTGGGACTTGGCAATCCCACTCTGGCTCCTACTCTTCCTTGTCAGGACATCACTTTGTAAGAACAGGACAAAAAGACAATCTGACCCCTTGATGGTTTTGTTCTTTCTAAAAATGGGCCACTAATTTTCCATGTCTTTCTTGTTAGACTTTGAATCAAGAATTTACAGCAAGGGTGTCAGAGTTAAAAAGTATTTGCCTGCTGTTGTTGAGAATTTTTGTTTTGATTTTGAAGCCCAGCCTTACAAATACATGGGAGTCAGAGAACCAAGTTTGGGCAACGCTTCTCTGTGCGCATTTGAACTGTTGCCCAACATATGGGATTTGTTTAAACACAGGATTTGCTAATCCAACGAGAGTACAGTTGTTCTAAGTTACTGTAAATCAGTTTCCACAATGGCAAATCAACTGCTTTACCCGGTTATTGTTCGGAATAATCAACACCATTGTATATGTGTACGTATGTAGATGTGTGCAGCATGTGGTGATTCTCCGGGTACTCCAGTTATAAAAAGCACAGAGTCTGGGCAGACTTGTTCCTACAAGAAAGGGAAGCTCTTCATATGGACAGGCACAGTGACACTGGAAGCATCTACAACAACCCTCACCTTAATTATATGGTCCCTGGTCCTATCAAAGGCAAACAACACATCTGTGGCGGTCAGAAGTGTCTGTGTGGAGGTTGCTTGTAGGAGAACAAGTACAATTTGATCAGTTTCTCAGTGCTCTACTGAGTTGATGATTAGCCATTAAAACACATTCAAGTGGGGTAAAAAAGTAAATCAGCATGTAGGAAGATTTTATCATATCATACAAGAATCTTTTGCTTTGACGAGCAGTTCCTTCATCACAAATGTATTTGCTTTTGCCATGTGCATTATAAAAATAAGACTATTTATGGCTTGTTTAAAGTGCCATTTTATAAAGTTGTCTTTTTTAATTAGCCAGAAAGACCCAATTTTATCCATGGCAAGACGTGAGCAGAATTGGTGACTGAATATTGACAAATGACCAACAACAAAGACAACAACAACAACAAAAATCCCATAATTTAAAATTTTTAAATAAATATAAAAGTTATTCCTAGAGAAGCCATCTGCATAACAATATAGGTTGTAACCTGCACTCAACAGCTAAAGTACCATTGGAAGAAAGAAAAAACTGAAACAAAAAGGCCATAAACAATTTCAGCAATAAGCATGATACACTGCAAACGTTTTAAAATTAAATGTACACAGTTAGGAATAAAAAGCTAGTTACTTCTCAAGTGTGTCTTGGGGGTGGGAGGTGGGGGAAGGAGGGGAAACATGCATAGAAAGTCCTGTGTTTGGGGGTAAAATAGCCTTGTCGAGTGTAGTTAAAGCAGTTGATATAAGAAAGCAACCAGATGAGAAGCTGTCACAGAAGGTGAGGAACTCCAGGTTCAAGAGTCAGGGATGTTGTAAGAGTGCATCCTGGGCCCGCCGAGGTGAGCAGAGCTCACTGTGGGGATCACGAAGATGCCACTTTCAGCACTTAGCAACAGAGGGAACAAAAGCTATAGGGAAAGGAAGCTGCAAAAGACAATTTAGCAACACGATGGATGCCTTCTGGGGAGATTTTCTTCTTTAAGAGCCCTGAGCATTGCACTAGGGGCTTAGTTCCATGAAGAGGTTGGTTGCTTATCACAAAATTTTGTTCAGATGTAAAATTTCAGATCATTGTAAAAATTACGCCAAAAAGGAAAGAGTTGGATTTCCATTTAGAAATTAAAAACAATTAAAAGCGCAAACTTGGCATAAATACACTTTAAAGTAAGACTGGTAGCCTTCCCCTCAAAAAAAGGGAGTTAAAAAGAACCATCATGTAAACCCAAGCTCTGAGGCCTTCTCTGCCAACTGCTTAATGCAAGTTTGATGAGCAGACGCGGCTCTGGCTTTGGAAGTCACAGTACTGGCGGGTGTTTGTGCCAGGGGTCAGTGCTTGTGAATTGGGTGTGATATCACCTGGCCCTTTCTTAAAGCGCTATGTGTGTGTGTATGTGTGTGGCTGTGTGTGCCCGTGTGTTTGCATTGGGGGATATCAACTGCAGATTGATTTGATCCAATTTTTTCTTGCACCATACACATATAAAACATCACAACTCTATAAAAGTACAAGTGCAACTTGTACATCTGAAGTTTGCAGGAACTATGTGAGCAAATCCTATCAAAATAGCTATCTCATATGTATAAACAGCATTTGTTTTTAGAAAAACAATATCATAAACTGCAGAATCTGTACAAAAATATAAAATAAATTTGGGCAGCAGTTTTCTAAACAGCCATGTAAATGCAACACTTACGAGGAGTAGTTAATGCCTCTAAAAAGGCTGAATTGCCAAGTCAACCTATACAGGGCAAAAATGCCAAAAAAGGTACTGAGATTATCTAAATAATATATATATATATATTTTTCTTCTTTACCTCTTGCAATAAAACTTATAGAAAAAATAGACAAATATGCACATGCAATGTACAGCTTTTCCAACTTAATCCTTGTGCTTCACTTGAACTGTTTATTTTTGTCATTCAACATAGCAACGTTGTCTTCAAATGTATTCTTTCCTATACCAGGGTAGTAGGTTTCTGAGGAACCACTCAAAAAAGCATATTAAAAGTGGTCGTACTTGGATGAAGGCACTCCAACTCTGCTCAAAGCAAAAACTAGTGTGATCCTTTTGTAAAATTTTCTTTTTCTCTGAAAAAGGCAAGCAAGGGTGCATGCACAGTGCGGAGAACTGTCAGGGTTGTGGGAACACTCCAGGGTCCCTGGGTCTTAGGACCCAACAAGCACCTCCATGATGTGGTCCAGCTCTGTGAGGTCCATTTTGAAAGGCTGACTCGGGGTGACAGGCTGACTGCTATAAGGAGCCAGAGTTTTGAGGAGGTCGTCGGCTGACACAGGGGCCATTTTTGAGGCTGTTCCTGATGAGGATGTGCAGGGGTCAAAATCATACATGGACGTATCAATGTCGGCAAAGAGGATGTCATCCAGGGTCAAGTCTGTCAGGAAACCCGTGGGTGTGGTTATTTCGAAGTTCCCAGGCAGAGAGTCTATCAGTTTTGCATCCTCTGTGCGGCTCTCTTGGGGCCCCTCGGGTTTCTGGAAGCTGGACTCACTGGAGGACCCTTTCGAGCTGTCAGTCACTGTTGTTGCAGCCTCTGTGGAGGTAGATGTGGGACAGAGCTCCTCGATCTCGTCCAAGGCAGAGGAGAAGCTGTCCTTTTCTGGCGGGAGGGCTGGAGGTGAGAGTTTGGTAGGAGCCGTGGGCTGCACGGTCTGGGAAGTGCAAAAAGTGTCATCGTCATCCTCGAGCAGGGAGGCTGGGGTGAGGCAGGCCTCCAGGGATGTAGTGCTTCCGAGGTCGCAGGGGTGGGCAGAAGGGGACCCAAGGTGACTGAAGGCAGGTGGGGCCTCTCGGTAGCTGTCACTCAGCCCCTCAGCAGGCTGGGAAGAGGGGGTGAATGTGGGCCTCAGGCTGCCTTCCTGTTTGAGTTCCTCCTGGATCCGCCTCAACATGTTGTTAATTAAAACGGTCTTTTGCAAGCTGGGCTCTGTCAGGGGCCTGTGGTTATAGAGTTTCATAAGGGAAATGTTGAAGATAGTCTGGCGCTGTAAGGTGTAAGACACCTTGGATGGACCGTCAGAGGCAGACACGATTTTGCCTTCCAGCCCATCTTCATGCTCATCAAACTTCCGTTTTCCTCCTTTACCCAACATATATCTGCAAAGGAGAGAGAGGAGGAAACAGCATTAATCACATGAACACTGATTTCTGCCATTAAAAAAAAAAAAGAGGTCAAGACTTTAGTTTCTTGCCCAGGGTTATTTAGAAGAACAGAAGGATTAATTGTAGGGTGGAGGAGACCTTTTAGGAGAAGAGAGAATTACCTTTGTATACCCTTGGAGTAATTTTTTATCACTAGGTAGTCTGGTGAATGTATTTCTTGAGAAATGTGTACAACATAGACAAGTTAAGGGTTGCCAAGGAAACCATGATTTTGACTTTCTCAGCTCATGTGCTTGCTTTCACATGCAGGTTCAATTCCTTCCCCCAAATGGATTTATTTTTAAAACTCAAGAAAACACAATGCTATGACCTAAACAGATACAGGTGTCATGAATTATAATTTGAACACATCTTGAAGGATTGAAAGAACCAAGTTAAAGAAGGGGGAACATGTATAATTTTGGTAGAACCGAGTGTGCTTTCAAAATCCTTTTTCCTTCCTCATAATGCATGGAGTCTTTCTGACTGTTTGGTAACATGTGGCCTGTGGCACTTGGCCTGTGTTAAATGACCAGTGACTGAGCTGCCACCGCTTTTCATTCTAGAATCAAGTGGAAGAATGCATACTTCCCAGCCTAAGTTTTTCCTTGGCTCAATTGGTCGCACTGTTATGTGTGAATGAAACTGGATTAGTTTAAAGTAATTTGTTCTGAATATAAGCATTGTTGTTTGTATACTTGAGACATTTCATAACAAAATATCTACTGTGATTCCTGAGATACATACGCAATCTAAAGAAACAATGACCTCAGGTCTCAAGTCTTGGGAATTTAGCAATGAGTTAAATTTTAAGACTGCAGTGAAGAATGGCCCCATTTCCCTGCATTCACTGCCCAGGCTGTGTCTTCTCTTGCTCTGGCCTTAGTGAATACTGATCTTCACCTGGTTCGTCACCTTCCAGAGCATGGTCCTTCTGACGCTCCAAGGTCGGGTTACCTAGTCATCACTTACTTTCAGAATTTCTATTGTTTAAACAGAGCAATTTCAGGTCCACTAGCCCTTCTCTCACAGACTTCACATTCTAACCATTTAATCAGAAATTTGTCCTTTTGCTGTTCAGACCAGAATATGTGGTTCTAATTAAGCCAGGCCTATGTTGGCTCCCTTGCCCCCTCTCTAACACTCTCAGACATGTATTAATCCTATCCTCAATGTGGCTCACTCTTTCTGATGTCTTCATACATAAACAACTGCTCCATAGGAATTTTTCTTCTAACTGCTGCTTACCTTTTACTGAATTGCTTCAGCTGATTGGATCACGTCTCATTAATCCTTTACGAACCCACTCCACACCCACACCATCTCAGACACTCTTCTGTGCATAGTGGGGAGCCAAACATGAATAGAGTGTGGTCTACAAGAGGCTAAGTATCTCGTTCTACACTTTATCCTAAAGGATACTGGTCTTTGAATTTCAAGTCTCATCCTAAAGGAGTAAGGCTAAATGGAATATAAATTTCACACAACTTTCTTCACGCTGCCCCTCAATACACATGTGCAGGTGGCCATAGAGCGTGGCACACAAATCCTGCTTAAGGTGACTAACTTTATTGCCTCAGTCTCCAGAAGAGACAGCTGAAGAAGCTGCAAACTATTAATGTCAGGCGGCACCTGTAGCTCAGGTAGGTAGGGCACTGGCCACATGCACTGAGGCTGGCGGGTTCAAGCCTGGCCCGGGCCTGCAAAGAACAATGACAACTGCAACCAAAAAAACAGCCAGGCATTGTGGCGGGTGCCTATAGTCCCAGCTACTTGGGAGGATGAGACAAGAGAATTGCTTAAGTCCGAGAGTTTGAGGTTGCTGTGAGCTGTGACGTCACAACACTCTTCTGAGGCTGACATAGGTAAGACTGTCTCAAAAAAAATAAAATGATAAGACAATGTCCAGTAAATTGTCAAAAATAAATAAATAAATCAAGTTCCATTATAAAAAAAAACTATCAATGTCAGAATCAGCTTGAGCTTTGTTCATACAAAGAGGGGAGTTACTTGTGTGAAACATTTCCTCTCCTGTAAACATTAAGAAAATGGCGGTCAATCACTAGGACCCAAGACCACTGCTGCAACTAACTGTTCTCTAAGGCAAGGAAAATATGATAGTAACTGGCAACTGGCTTATCTAATACTTCATATGACAAATATTTCCTACTGTTTAGTGCTAAAAGTCTCATTTATTTATCTGCTTTGCACAGAACATTTCCTATCTAAAATATTCATACCCATTTAAACTTGAGAGTGAATCAGAGGGAAGGCGGTTTCATTCACATTGAAATACTTTCTACTTCACAGATCAGAAGTGTTACCAGACATTTGGATTTTGAAACACATAATCATATTAACAATTATTATTTGTATACTTCCAGAAAAATTTCACTTTGCTAAAAAGCTTACTATGTGCCTTTCATTGTAAGTGCATTTAATTTTCATATAAAGTTGCTAGATGACCTGATCGATCATGGCAGCACATTTACACACATGTGTGAGTACACAAATCCATATATGCACACTCTAAAGCAATGTTTCTAAAAGTGTGGTCCATAGATGGTGCCTGACTGTGAACTGTTACTGGTCCACAATGAAGTCAGTAGAGATAACGCACTATTTAGAAACTTTTGCAAATTTGCAGAGTAACTGTAATCTGTAAATCTAATTTTTAAAAAACGAAACCATCTATTTTACACATCTGTATTTTAATTTTATTTCTCTAGTAATTATTATAATTTTTTTTTTGAGACAGAGCCTCAAGCTGTCCCCCTGGGTAGAGTGCTATTGCATCACAGCTCACAGCAACCTCCAACTCCTAGGCTCAAGTGAGTTTCCTGCCTCAGCCTCCCAAGTAGCTGGGACCACAGGTGCCCACCACAACACCCGTCTATTCTTTCTTTTTTGGTTGCATCTGTCATTGTTGTTTGGTGGGCCTGGGCTGGACTCGAACCCGCCACCTTAGGTGTATATGGCTGGCATCTTAGCCACTTGAGCCACAGGCGCCCAGCCTCTAGTAATTATTTTTATTGTTTTTCTAAAGTCCATGAAGGACTGGGGGAGGGAGGAGCCAAAACAAGATGGTCCCTCATCACAGAAAGCTTGAGAAGCGCCCGCACAAAATGCTGACCAAAGTACAACTAAAAAGGAATTAGTGAGCTCATGGCCACTTTGAATTCTTATTGGTTTGCTAGAGGAAAGGTAACATTTAGGCAAGATGGTGTTAACTTTTCCTTGTTATCAAAGTACAACTGTCTTTTTTAGACTTGTTACCAGAATAAACAAAACTTTTTCAGTAACATATTTTTCTAGAAATAATCACTAACTCCACAGAATTCACTAAGCACACAGGCCATGCAATACTATAGGCATTTAGCAGAATTCTCATAGCTGAAAGAGATCAGTGGAGATACTTTCAGAGACAAGTCCATGTGAGAAGCACCTAAATTCCAATTAGAATGATCCAGCTGGTCATAGCTGTGTGCTAATCCTAATGATTTAGGGAAAGCCTGATAAGACATCAGTAATGCTGCCTGAAAGAAGAGGGCGGAGGGCTAGCATAGACAAAATCTGTGAACAGAAACAGATACACAAATTGAATCTTGGATGTGCTTCAAATGTGTGAATTAAGGACCCCTAATAGAGTACGTCTCAAAGCAGATCTGCCTTCATTTGTCTATTTCACATCATGAGTCAAAACTGAATCCACATACTCAGTAATATTGAAAAATGCACACAATCCTCATTTTTAATCCTATCTAAATTGTCATAGAAAGGAATAAAATGGAACATAATAAAACTGACTTCACATTTTTACCTAAAGTTTTCCCACACTGCAGTAATACTATGATTAGCACAGTCAGGAGAGGCCTCCAACTCCTACAAGGGGGAGGGTGGAGAGAACTTTCACTCTTCAGGGTTTTGTGTAACAACCTCGTCCTTAGCAGAATGGGATGTGAAGAAGAAAAGACCAGACAAGCCCTCAAGAACCTGAGGGCAAGAAGCCAGGGCCGGCCTCTCAGGGCCTGGTGCAAGCTGCCCAAGGCCAGGGTCGGCTCAGCGCCTCAGAAGCCTCTTTTCCTCAGGCAGTTTAAGAAAATAACAATAGCTCTTTAAGCGCCACTGGAGAGGCACGTGACCTTTCAAAAGGCCCCACCAGGCTGCAACTTGAAGATGAAGCAGTAGCAGCTCATTAAGGGCTTCTAGGTAACTCTAGGGAGGGGGGGTTCCTTGCTGGGGGGAGTAGCTGGAGTTCCCTGAAAGGAGAGACTTGTGACTCCCTCACTTCTGAGGCCACCACAAAGTAACCCTGGGCTTTGGTATACCACTTTATAGCCTTCCTTGGCTGTGAAGACCCAAGTCTGAGCCTTCTACCCAGTTTTTCAGACAAAGATCCTAACGGAACCTGAGCTTCAGGGGTGGGTTAGACGTCCACGTGGGGGAATGGAGGGCTGCTCCTTCCCTCTGTCTACCCTAATCACAGACACTTTTCTATTGAATATTCACTGGCTCCTAATGGAAGGTTTGAGATAAAATACCTTGCTTCCCCAATAAACTTCTTAGAAACAAATCCCTAACGTTCTGGTTTTCTTGAATAAATTTTAGCAACTATGAAATACAGTAAACTAAGTTTCAAAAACAAAGAACAAAACTCACTGGTAGCTACGTAAATAAAAACTTCTCTTTGGAGTTTTTTTTTTTTTTTTTGAGACAGTCTTAGTTTGTCACCCTTGGTAGAGTGCCTTAGTGTCACAGCTCACAGCTCTTGGGTTTAAGTGATTCTCTTGCCTCAGCCTCCTGAGTAGCTGGGCCTACAGGCACCCGCCACAACACTTGGCTATTTTTTGTTGCAGTTTGGCTGGGGCTGGGTTAAACTGCCACCTTTGGTATATGGAGCCAGCGTCCTACTCACTAAGCCACAGACGCCACCCCTCTTTTGGAGTTTGGA